CATACACCTAATCGAATACAAACACGTACAATCACACAAACACACACACTTAAACATACAACCACTCTCGCTCCATAACAGACAATATGAAATGCAGTAACAGTACAAGAATTGAGGTAGAAAGAGAGGAATAACTGAACCCAAAAAACATCATTACTAATCCATTTTCCATGTACGTTATTACTGAGAGAGTACAAGGACTCTCCTGAGAGAGTACAAGGACTCTCCTGAGAGAGTACAAGGACTCTCCTGAGAGAGTACAAGGACTCTCCTGAGAGAGTACAAGGACTCTCCTGAGAGAGTACAAGGACTCTCCTGAGAGAGTACAAGGACTCTCCTGAGAGAGTACAAGGACTCTCCTGAGAGAGTACAAGGACTCTCCTGAGAGAGTACAAGGACTCTCCTGAGAGAGTACAAGGACTCTCCTGAGACACTACAAGGACTCTCCTGAGACACTACAAGGAATTTTGGCCCCAAACATCAACATGAATTCTGTGAAAGGAAAGTCCCTCTAAAGGAACATATTAGAGTGCTACCTCAGGACATCTTTGACAATAGTGTGAAGACCTCTTCTCTCACTCTTGTCCCCTCTCACTCCGACCTTCCCCTAACTCTCACACCTCATATATGAGGTGTGATCGTGCTTTTTCCTCCTCACTGGTCTCCAGCAGTCATTCTATTATAACTTCCGCTGTGGAGTCACTCCGTCGTCTTTTTCTGCCCGTCTCTCATCATCTCCTGTCACTCGTGTCTCCTGCCTGTCACCTGGGTCACCTCCTTCATGACTTATACATCAACAAAATACAAAGAAATCAGCGGGTTTTCAAAATGTATCGTTTCCACACCAATTCCATGAATTATCAGATTGTTTCCCATATTATTGCCGAAAACAGATGGGGAATTTCTAAGATTATCTCCGAGGTCTTCGACGGTAGTACCGACAGCCTGTGCATGTCTCTGTATATTATATTTCACCGTAAGGATATCTTCTGGTATTACATGTAAATCAATCGTTCATTAAGAGTGTTATATATCATTATGAATTTCCTTGTCTTTCCCCTCAGGCCAGCGAACCCTCCTTGTCCTTCCTTGTTCCTTCCTCTGAGCCCATAACTCTCCGGTTTAATGAGAAACTCTCTCCTTAATGTTCTCTTCACGTCTCATTAACTTCTCCCTAATATGCATTCAGAAATTTCACAAAACTTGACGTCAGTGTCGTTTGGTACCTTTTTTTACGCCTGTTAAGCTGGTAATCTTGTATTTGTGATGGCACTTTCTCGGCCTCTCTCTTCCCTCAGTGGCAACTTTCCTCTCTCAGTAATGGCAACTTACCGGCTACTATCTCCCTTCAGCTTCCTCTAATGACACCTTATCGGCTTCTCTGTTCCTTCCGCTTCGTATAATAGCACCTTCTCGGCTTCGTTTTCCTTTCCGCCTCGTGTAATGGTATCTTCTTGGATTCTCTGTCCCTTCCTCCTCCGGAATGGCAACTTACCAACTTCCCCCTCCCCCCCTTTCTCTCTCTCTCATTCTCTCTCTCTCTCCCGTCTCCTGCACACCTAACTATATTCAGCTCATGACACCCTGTAGTCTGACACTCGTCTCAGACCATCTTCAATCCACTGCCTGGGGTTGAGTTTATCAACTTCGGTTTTAACTTCGGTTTTAAGGTCTTTGAACATCTGATTGGAACATCCTTCGAATCTGGCTGGATAATCAGTCAAGATGTGAAATTTTACAAGTACATGGGGACCCATTTTTTCCATCGAACCTTGTTCAGATTTAAGTGACATCTCTGGATAACTAAATTGTCAACTAATCAAGATAATCGCAAATTGGTTATCATGACAACTTACGGTCTGCAGGAAATGTTTTTCATAAAAATCATTAGTAGATAATACTGAATAATGAAACAGCTTAATAAATGATTAGGTAATGTTGCATAATTGTTTCTGAACGTCTGACAATAGTTTTTATCTTCTTCCGGACCTCACAATCTTCGCACCTTCTTGAGGTTATCTTGAGATGATTTCGGGGCTTTAGTGTCCCCGCGGCCCGGTCCTCGACCAGGCCTCCACCCCAAGGAAGCAGCCCGTGACAGCTAACTAACACCCTATTTTACCCTCAGGTACCTATTTTACTGCTAGGTAACAGGGGCACAGGGTGAAAGAAACTCTGCCCATTTTTTCTCGCCGGCGCCTGGGATCGATCCCAGGACCACAGGATCACAAGTCCAGCGTGCTGTCCGCTCGGCCGACCAGCTCCCATCCCACCTTAAGGTGACTCTCATTAAGTTAACAACCAATCAGCCTCATTTGGGATCAAACGTCTGTCATTATTTAACGCTTACGTTTATAAAACTTTGACTAAGATAGAGGCCGAAGATTGCTGTTATCATGAACAGCAAATTGCAGAGATAGAAGATGCCGATAACACTGATATTATTACACAGAGAAATTACAATAACGTGGTATATCACTGAACACATTGACAAGGACCTTGATATAGCTATAGTTGACTACGACGTGTATGGGAACATCTAACGCACAGGTTCGAATCCTTATCAAGGCTGTTGATCAGACCACACACTAGAAGGTGAAGGGACGACGACGTTTCGGTCCGTCCTGGACCATTCTCAAGTCGGTTGTCACAATCGACTTGAAAATGGTCCATGACGGACCGAAACGTCGTCGTCCCTTCACCTTCTAGTGTGTGGTCTGGTCAACATACTTTAGCCACGTTATTGTGACTCATCGCCTACTTATCAAGGCTCTTGAAAATTTGATCATTGGTATTATTATTTCCCGAACATAACGGATTACTATTGAACTGACAATAACACACGAGTCATTAATGATAGGAATCCTGCAGGAATTCCATCGCTAACGTTACCAGTCCTAATATACTCAGCTTCTTCTCTCACAGGACCCCTTAATAGTGGCAGGAAAATAAAAGTGAAGCGTCCTCTTCCACATTTGAGGAAAATGGCAAGTATCTGGCTCGGCTGCTTGGAATCCTATTTTCCTTGGCTGAGTAGGCCTTTGTGATCAATTTTTAATGTAAATTTGCCTCAAGCTGCAGTTTGGAAACGATAAAATAAGCAGTTCTCGATTTCAATTTAATTTCGAATTCGCGTCAATTACCCTCAAAAAAGGTCGTATGCCCCTCCTTCCGGGGGTGACAACATAGAAGACGAGGTCACTAGAATATTGCGAGATTATGTTCCCAACATCTTTATGATCTAACTAACCACTGGGTACCACGAGCAGGTGGTTGAAGCTTCATTAAACTACAAACATTGGTCTTTGATTTTATTATATATATATATATATATATATATATATATATATATATATATATATATATATATATATATATATATATATGTCGTACCTAGTAGCCAGAACTCACTTCTCGTCCTACTATGCAATGCCTGATTTGCCTAATAAGCCGAGTTTCCCTGAATTAATATATTTTCTCTAATTTTTTTCTTATGAAATGATAAAGCTACCCATTTCATCATGTATGAGGTCAATTTTTTTTATTGGAGTTAAAATTAACGTAGATATATGACCGAACCTAACCAACCCCACCTAACCTAACCTAACCAATCTTTATAGGTTAGGTTAGGTTAGGTAGCCGAAAAAGTTAGGTTAGGTAGGCTGAGGTAGGTTAGGTAGTCGAAAAACAATTAATTCAGGAAAACTTGGCTTATTAGGCAAATCGGGCCTTGCATAGTAGGCTGAGAAGTGCGTTCTGGCTACTAGGTACGACATATATATATATATATATATATATATATATATATATATATATATATATATATATATATATATATATATATATATATATATATATATTAGTATATTTTGGTAGCAGTCTTTCCTGTAGACATATATTATTAAATATGACCGAAAAAGTAAGATTAATAATTCTAACACGAATTTTCTCGATCTTTCGTACGTTTCTTTTCACTGTTGGTGGTAATTCAAAAATCAATTCTCCAAAATTCTCCAAAAAAAAATGAATTTTTGGAGAATTGATTTTTGAATTACCACCAACAGTGAAAAGAAATGTACGAAAGATCGAGAAAATTCGTGTTAGAATCATTAATCTTACTTTTTCGGTCATATTTAATAATATATATATATATATATATATATATATATATATATATATATATATATATATATATATATATCAGATGAGGTATGAGCGTACATACATCATCTGATACGAGTTTTGACCTCGTATTACCTGCCCTAAAAAAAGTCTATGGTGTTTTCTCTGTATGCGTCACGTATATCAGTGTTATGTGAAATGTATATCAGGTGCATCCATATCACTTGCCATTATTATTCACCTGTCAGTATATTTCGAGTATCGGTATATATGTCAACTGTCCTTGGCTGTCCTATATCAACCAAAACCTTGCGCAAACCTGATCCAGCGTCTACTCATCTACCTTCAATTCAAGCCTCTGTTTACCCATTTACAATTTCCACATTCTCCATCAAACATGGCTTCCAATTAATCGTCCAGTAACACCAAAACAAAAACTTTCCTGATCTCATAATTCTTATATTGGTAAAAAAAATAAAAGGTAAGCCAAATCAACGTTTAGAGAAAGGTAGTTTTTGACCTCGTATTGCCTGCCCTAAACTGGATCGGGAATTCCGACAATTAGTTTTCATTTGCAACGAATTTTAGCGAAAACTCTCTGTTAATGCGCAAAGTTAAATTGGGCTGTTTGCGCCTCAGAAAGTTTATCCTTTTTGGGCAGTGAAAAGTGAAATCAAACATCAACTTAAACTGAGGATTGTGGGACGTGACTCTCTGATTGTACATCAAACTAGGGTGAATTGGATGGAGCTGGAAGATGGGCTTTACCACACTACTCGTTAGACCCCCAAAGCATTGTCCCGAAATGACGAGTTGAAAAAATGCAACGCTTGAATCAGATCGTAGGAGCTCCTTGATCGGTCTCACACTCTAACTAGGTCATTCCGCGGTTTCTTACAGACTTTCATCGTATTTTATCCCCCTCGTAACTTTGGCAGCATCAGCGACCATTATGAGGAAGGAGTCTTATTCCTCTGAGAGGTCGTCCACATAGAATGGGAACAGTACCGACCCTTGTTGGTTCATTACTGGAGGATTATTGAGGCCATTACAATAGCTTACTGACCAGCCAGCAAGAATCCTTTAGCCCTGAACATAATCCTACACTCTCAGTATATATACACCGAGCAGCGGTTTACAGCTTTCGGTGTATCTATGATGAACCTTTAGGGACGTCAATGGTAAAATCCGATCAGATTGATGTCTCTTTCACTGTAACTCTCTTCCAACTGTTGCAGAGGTGTACTGTGGTTACACCTCTGCACTGTGCTTCTGTGGTTACAGAAGTATTCTGTAATCACAGAAGAAGTACTCTGCAAATACCCGGTTTGCTGGTTCGAGTTCTGTCATTGCTACGATTGATTTTCTCATAATAACTCAGATTTACCGGGGCGTTAACATACATAACTGATCAATCACATTTTCAATAATGTATAATGTATACAAATATCCTCATCACTGTACCTCAAATGTAATATTACTCCATTCTTCCCGCTCATCATGAATGGTTTTTCGTCTAGTTGGATCCCAAGCAAGGGAGGATTGAGTGGGCACTAATCCTCAGCTCTTCATTCCGGTTCAGCAATTGGCCCCCCCCCCCCCCTCTCATGTTTGCTAGTTTGGGCGATTGGGTTGCAGAGAAAACTAGTAACGTTGCTTTTAATATGAGTTATGGGATAGGAATATTCTGAAACTATTTCTCCTGTACCCGCCTGTGAAATAAAATTACATTAAAGACATACTTCAAAACTCAATATTTCAGTCCCCCGACAGGATTCCTTAAGAAAATTTGATATACATCCTCTTCATCTTAGAGACAATTTAATTAACAGTTAGCATAACTGTGTGGATTACAATTTATAAAATAAATATTACAAAAATGGGAGTAGATGTATATACATGGATGAGAATAGGCATGGTAATTATGAGTCATGAGTGAGAATTAACATGGTAATTATGACTCATGAGTGAGAATTAACATGGTAATTATGAGTCATGAGTGAGAATTAACATGGTAATTATGAGTCATGAGTGAGAATTAACACGGTACTTATGAGTCATGAGTGAGAATTAACATAGTAATTATGAGTCATGAGTGAGAATCATTAGAATCAAATAAGTTCTGCCACGAATGGGTCAGTAGGCCTCTTTTAATTCGTTTTGATTTTATGTTATACTAAGCTAACCATCAACTCCCCTCCCCCTTCCCCTCACTCAGTTACCGTTCTCCTCTCTATCACCTCATTCCTATCCCCCCTCACCCCATTCTTCTTCCCATTCCAATCCCCATTCCCTATCTTACTTTCCAATACGTGGTTTGGGAGCTGAAGACACGTGCTGGATAGATATTATTCGGGAAAAAACGCTTTTTACTCCTCTTCAACGCTTAAATTGTGAAAAAAATAAGAAATCGTTTTTTACAAATGTTTAAAAGGATTTTTACATAATTCAAAAAATGTCTCAATATCCTGCGGTGATATGAAAACTAATAGAGTATGAAATTACTTTTCGCCAACGTTATTATGGCTATACATAAACAGGTTACCTGATGTCTCATCTCCCTCGTGTGTAAATTATACCCTTAGGGAGCTTCACTCTTATGTTAGCCATGCTGAAGCAACCTTTAATGTGAGTCATGCTGAGGCAACCATTCGTGTTAGCCATGCTGAAGCAACCATTCATGCTAGTCATGCTGAAGCAACCATTCATGTTAGTCATGCTGAAGCAACCATTCATGCTAGTCATGCTGAAGCAACCTTTATTGTTAGCCATGCTGAAGCAACCATTCATGTTAGCTATGCTGAAGCAACCATTCGTGTTAGCCATGCTGAAGCAACCTTTCATGTTAGCCATGCTGAAGCAACCATTCATGCTAGTCATGCTGAAGCAACCATTCATGTTAGTCATGCTGAAGCAACTTTTCATGTTAGCCATGCTAAAGCAACCATTCATGTTAGCCATGCTGAAGCAACCTTTAATGTTAGCCATGCTGAAGCAACCTTTCATGTTAGTCATGCTGAAGCAACTTTTCATGTTAGCCATGCTGAAGCAACCTTTAATGTTAGCCATGCTGAAGCAACCTTTCATGTTAGCCATGCTGAAGCAACCATTCATGTTAGCCATGCTGAAGCAACCTTTATTGTTAGCCATGCTAAAGCAACCATTCATGTTAGCCATGCTGAAGCAACCATTCATGTTAGCCATGCTGAAGCAACCTTTATTGTTAGCCATGCTGAAGCAACCATTCATGTTAGCTATGCTGAAGCAACCATTCATGTTAGCCATGCTGAAGCAACCATTCATGTTAGCTATGCTGAAGCAACCATTCATGTGAACCATGCTGAAGCCATTTATAATATGCATTTCATCTCATCTTAAAGAGCCCACATTACTCATCAGACACCAGGATGCCATGCCTCTCCTCAGGTCTCCTCTACAGGCAACAAACACTCTCTCTCTCTCTCTCTCTCTTCTCCTCAGGATGACATCCACACCCACCAATCTCCTTCGCTTGCCACACTCTTCTCCTCTATCCAAAGGGTTACAGCCTCCTTCACTCCCTCTTCTCAACAGGCAATACTCTTCATCTCTTACCCAAACAAGACGCAGCAGCTCACTTCCGAGGCTCGCTCTGATACCTTTCATCAGAGGCAGAGATGTCAAGAGGAAGGAGAGGAAGAACTTTTCATACAATACAATACATGTGAGGTTTTCTGTAATTTATTTAAATGATATAGAATTTTTCGTGAACTTTAAAAACTCATGCTTGAGTCATTAGAAATTTGAATATGCTTGTATATTATATTATTAATGTCAATTTCTGCTTCACATTACTTTTTTAAATAAGATAATTGGATAAAAACTTTATTTAAGCTGATTTTACCTACATATGTGTTTCATACCGAAAATAGGTTAAGTGAGATTAGGATAGGTTAGATTTCGACAGCTTAGCTTAGGTTAGATAACATTCCTACCCTTAATCGTAAGTTTTAACAAATCGTTCCATCTTTGGTTGGACTAAAATTAGGTGTGCAGCTGATAAAGAAAAAATAGGACACTGATTGACAAACCCTGCTCATAATTTGATTTTTTTTTTCACTAATTGGCAAACCATTCCAAGAACTTTTAATAATAAGACGCAAAGGGAACTATTTAAAGTAATTAAGTCACCATATGAAGAGTTTTGAACATATTTAAAATAAATTATAGGACATTATTTTATATATGAGGTTTACCTTCTACAGATATATGGAAACCTATAATTTCCAACCATTATTCTTGGTACAGTCCCTGGCCAGTGTCCTCTTGGTACAGTCCCTGGCCAGTGTCCTCTTGGTACAGTCCCTGGCCAGTGTCCTCTTGGTACAGTCCCTGGCCAGTGTTCTCTTGGGACAAGTCCTGGCTAGTGTCCTCTTGGTACAGTCCCTGGCCAATGTCATCTTGGTACAGGTCCTGGCCAGTGTCCCCTTGGTACAGTCCCTGGCCAGTGTCCTCTTGGTACAGTCTCTGGCCAGTGTCCTCTTGGTACAGTCTCTGGCCAGTGTCCTCTTGGTACAGTCTCTGGCCAGCGTCCTCATGGTAATTGTTCGATACTCGTGGTGATCTCCGTTCTATGACAGAGTCGCAGTAATTTGCATGCCATTGTGTGTCGCTAGGAAGAGCGGGCAGGAACAAAGGAACTTAATCTACTAGGAAGGGGCGTCGCTTGAGTATTGAATAGTATAAATTAAAGCAAGTACTTTGATGCGGAGGTTCGGCTCAAACAACTGTCTTGATCCAGTCCACATTAACTCTTAATTCTCCTTGGGAGTATTTCCAGACACCATTGTGGTGAGTTAAGGAGGGCTTAATAACTCAGCTAAGTACCAGTCAAACTCTGCCTAGTGCTGTATTGTAAGTATCTTGGTGCAGTGGGTAAATTGAGTGTCTCGTAATTTCCAGGTCCGAGTTCGAGTCTCCAACGATCCAACTACAATAAATATGTGTATATAATTTATATTATAATTATTAAATTATGCAACTCTGGACTTCTAACTCTTCCGTTTTTTCAACATCAAAGGAATTTTCGATTATATATTTGATTATCAATGTTTTAAAGAATTAATAACATTTATAATATATTATTAAGATAGAGTACAAATGCTTTTCCATGGTTGAGTTAGTGATTTATTTAGCATAATTACATTTTAAATATTTCCTTGTCACATCATTTATACTACATCAACAAATAAATTACAATCTATTAAACTTCTGAAAATCCAATTCACTGAAATGAAATAAATGATTAAAATTCCAGAATGTGGAGATAAAAATCATGTTATTTATTACAATGAGAGATTTTAATGAGATTTTAGTCAGTCGTGAAAATGTATTTATAAATTGTTAATATATTACTATTTAAAATAACTACCGAGCCTCAGTGCTCTCCTTTAAAGAGTACAGTGCTGGTGCTTTAACTCATAAACTCATTCCTAATCAAAATGAATGTTAGGATCTGTATTTTTTTATTGTGCTGACCAACTAGCTCAGTTAGTATCTACCAAAAATGTTTTGTAACAAATATATAGAAATATTTGAGATACACAGGCAAATACAACCTCTGGTTTAGTCCTAGCAAATGTGCTACAGTGGTATTTACCTCTGTTAAGTCTTTTTTTTCTTCCCAGCTCTCGAGTTAAAAATTCCTAGGATGATAAATTAGAAAATAAAATATCCCAAAAAGCATATGGATTATATAATAAAGTGACCGTTTGAAGTCCCGCGTGCTGTCCGCTCGGCTCCCTTTTTCTTTCCCTCTTTCCTCTCCTCTTTCTTTTTCCTTTCCTTTCCTTTCCTTTCTCCTTTCTCCCTTTTTCTTTCCCTCTTCCCTCTCCTCTTTCTTTCTCTCCCTCTTTCTCCCTCCCGACCTAGAAGTCAGAATAAATGTCATACTGACTGAAATTAGAAATCTTGACACCTGGTTGTGAGTTCAGGTACTTCAGGGTCAGTGTATGGCACCTGGGGAATGCTGACCTTCATGATGTAATTTGTGTGAAGTGGAAATGATAACAAGATATCTCAGGTAACTATCATTGAACTCACTGCTGTATCCTGCCTGGAGCACACTAACATTTGAACTAGTTAACAAGCTGATGTACTTCTTGTGCCCTGATGGAATCACTCATTCAGTTACCGTCAATCATTTGAAAAGCATTCTTTTATTTCCAGCGTCTATGAATAAAAATGACACTCACTGTAAGACACACAGAATGTCACAGAATAAGTGATGTGAATAATAATAAGGCATGTATTTAGTACGCAATGAAACGACTTGATTGTTTACAAATAAAATATGTACAGTTTAAATCTTATTCCTTGTATATGAGCAGTATGCAACCTGTCTGATTCAGGCTATATCCTGAATCTGCCCACGAGTATACAACTTACTAATACTGGATACTACTCCAACTAATATTATTTATAATCCTTCCAATATTATCACTGTCAATACCAACTAGGCACCAGAAAATATAAATTAATACTGAATAAATTAGGTTTTTATGGGTATGGAAGGTGGTGAAGTGTAAGGAAAGTGGGGAATTATATGTGGTGATTGGTAGGGAAGGTAGAGAAGGATAGGGAAGGTAGTGAAGGGTTGGGAAGGTGATTAAAGGGCAAGGAAGGCGGAGGAGAGGGATAGTGGTGAAGGGTATAGAAGCTGGTGTAGGTAGGAAAGTTTGTAAAGGGTAAAAAATGAGGTGAAGGAGAGGGAAAGTGTTGAAGGGAAGGGAATTTGCAACAATTATACTACTGCTACAATCTCATCTCTCATGTTGACCAGACCACACATTAGAAATTGAAGGGACGACGACGTTTCGGTCCGTCCTGGACCATTCTCAAGTCGATGATTCAAGTCAAGTATTCGTCATCTCTCATGCTAATAATTCTGGTACTAGTACTCCCGTCGGTATTTACACTACTCATATAAATGCCGATATTACTGCTAGCTACACATATATTAATGTAACAAATTCTCACCGATGCTCCTATTATACCCAGTGCTTACAAAATCTACAATTATAGCTTTGCAACACTGCTATTACTATTAATAACATTGCAAGCTCTATTGCTTTTGTCTGTAGAAGCAATATTGTACAGACATATTGATACTATAAGTTGACCAGACCACACACTAGAAGGTGAAGGGACGACGACGTTTCCGTCCGTCCTGGACCATTCTCAAGTCCATAGTGGTGAAGGCCACTTAAATCGACTTGAGAATGGTCTAGGACCGACCGAAACGTCGTCGTCCCTTCACCTTCTAGTGTGTGGTCTCGTCAACTTACTTTAGCCACGTTATTGTGACTCATCGCCTGCATTGATACTATAAGCTACGTGACTACTGCTACTAAGTGCCCAACTACGCCTAGCAATATTGAAACTACAAGCTGTACTTTTGATATAAACACGATCGATAAACAAAATGTTTCCTAATTGTCATGCAATGTGAGGATATCAAGAAGAGTCTACAGAGAATTAACATTAACGTGGTATATCAATAAACAAATCCCACAGGACTCGTGATGAGGATTCGAACCTGTACGCTGGGTGATCCCAATTTTGGAGGCAATTTCCCATTTTTTGTGGAATTGTGTGAAACCCTGATAGGCTTCATTGGAAGCCTCGGGACCCTTGTAAGTGCAGTAGTACTCCAGGTTGCATTTCTTTTGACCATGTTGTAGTGCAGTCGACTAGAACGTGTGCCTGGGAACACCAAGGGCCTAGGTTCGAACCCTCATTAAGGCTCCTCGATAAGGAAGAGTGGTAATGAAGCACTGCTTATAAAGATATATTATAATGTTCCTGCTCACAGTAGCCGCAGGCAATATATTCGTTACCAGAATACTGTTGAGGTAGTCGGCATGACTAAAGTCGTAGCCGGGGTGACTTGTGTATTATTGTTAATACGGCAGCTGCAGGACAAGCTCATTAGTCTGTCTTACCTGTCGGTCTTGTAGTCACTTGTCTCGGTGGAATTCTATTGCTTCCTAAAATGTTGATCCAGCGTGTAGTGTAAGCCGGAGTAGAGAGAGAGGAGGGAAGAGAGTATAGGGAAGAGAGTGGAGGAAAAAAGAGTGGGAATGAGAGAGTCTTTATCTAAGTTATTCTGATGTCTATTAAATCAGTAATTATTCAATGATGTTTGTTGTATTGTAATTTTCTTAAGGAACTATTGACAATTATCACAAAGATACAAAACACGGAACCTAGTTAATATATTGAGCAGAAGTAATTAATTTTGGTGATTGCCTCTGGCATTGCATTTTGCAAGGAAAATTCAACTCTAAAAACCCATTTTTGTACTAAAATGTGTTTTCTATGTCAGTTTTGATTTGATT